CTTTCTTTCTTTCTTTCTTTCTTTCTTTCTTTCTTTCTTTCTTTCTTTCTTCCTTCCTTCCTTCCTTCCTTCCTTCCTTCCTTCCTTCCTTCCTTCCTTCCTTCCTTCCTTCCTTTCTTTCTTTCTTCCTTCCTTCCTTCCTTCCTTCCTTTCTTTCTTTCTTTCTTTCCTTTCTTTCTTTCCTTCTCACTTTCTCTCTCTCAGACTGCAAAGCATTTACTGGAAATCAAACTGGAAATAAACCTGCTCTTTCAACAAGTAAGTTCTCCAGGTTCTTAGGTTCCATCCTGTCCATCTCCCCATTACATGCAAATAGTCTATAGTCCACATTGCCCATCCTCTAGTCATCTCAGTTACCTCCTTGAATTATGAAAATTCTTGATCTAAGAGGAATAAGAGAAACACTTTAAGGGAATCAGCCCATTCCACCATTTACCCTCTTGGGCACTGATAATACTGACCACATAACAAGGGTTAGTTGCCACTAATTTGTTTAAATAGTAATAGGAATTTGTAGTGAAGGCAAAGTAGCAGGGGAGAAAGAAACAGTCTGTGGATGTGAGCAGACCTTGTAGGATTCTGCTCATTGCAGCACAGAAATATTTACTCTTATCTCTTTCCTCTCACAGAAAGAAACTGGAGAAGCTGCTTCCTTCTCTATCTCAGAGCTATAGGAGAGGGATATTGTCTCTAAGCAGTTTGGGTCATCTTACCAAACCTGTTCTGATCAACACCATATGTCTACTGGTCATATTACCCTGTTCCGCCCGTTATCTACTATGATGTTAACCACAGCAGCAACAGTGGTAACATCTTTTAGAGTCTTAATAGGTGCAGCTAGGTGGCACAGTGGATGTAGTACCAGACCTAGAATCAGGAAGACCTGAGTTCAAATCCAGCCTCAGACATTTACTAGCTGAGTAATCCTGGGCAAGTCATTTAACCCTGTTTGCCTCGGTTTCCTTATCTGTAAAATGAGCTGGAGAAGGAAATGCCAAATAATTTTTGCCATGAAAATCCCAAATGGGGTCACAAAGTGTTGGACATGACTGAACAACAACAACGACAAAAGAATAGACCAGAGGAGCACATATCCAGAGACAGCTGAGTGTTTGACTCTGAGAAAGTCCATGTGATACCAGGTTGAATCCCTTCCGGCATTTCTCCAAAAAGTCTCCACAAAATAGACCAAGAAAACCCAGTCCCACAATATCAGTGATGGCTGGATTCTGGAAAGTGTCATATCTCTACAGCAATGCTCATGAGATGTTACACTTATATGTATTCACAATATTTCTTCCTGTAAAATGTAAACTCTCTGACTGTAGGAATTGTTTCATTCTGTTCATATGTATCCCCAGTATCTAGCTCCGTACTTATATTGGGATATAGTGGGGGCTTAATAAATGCTTGTTGTTTGATTGATTTTATTTTATAATCTACTTTATCCCTTGTTTAGTAAAGAATTTTCCCCCTAGCCTTAGTTATGAAAGGTGCCTGACATTGAATCTCTTCTAAGTTTTATAGTATGTCCTTTTATATTCAGTTTGCTATGCATTGTAGTGATTAGAGCAGTGGACTTGAGTCAAGAAGACATGAGTCCAAATCCCGCCCCAGACTTTCACTAGCGCTGTGACCCTGTGACCCTCTCAGCGCCAAAGTTTCTTGGATTGGACTTGAGGGACTCCATGTCCCTTCCAGCTTAAAATCTAGGATCCATTTTAAGTTTATTGTGGTATCTGGTGTAAGATGTTGGCTTACACTTAATTTCTGCCAGACTTCTTTCCAATTTTCCCAGAAGTTCTTGTAAAAAAAAAAAGTCAGTATTTCCACTAGTAATTTATGTTCCTGAATTTACAAACACCAGCCTGCTATTTTCAACTGCTTCTATTTGTTGCTAACTAGTCTGTTCCACTAATCTAATTTTTTTTAAACCAGTACCAAAGAGTTTTGGTAACTACTCTTTTATAATATAGTTTGAGGTCTGATAATATAATTCCCCTCCCACTCATCTATTTTCTCATTATTCCTTCCTTGAGATTCAAGACCTTTTATCCCCCCAAAAAATTAAAATAGAAATATAAAAGAAATACAAAAATGAATTTTTATATTATTTTGTTCCCTAGATCTTTTTTCCCCCACATAAACTGCTGTCTAGACGTATTTCTTCATCCTTTTCCTGTAAAGTTGATTTTGGAACCCAAGTGTAGAACTTTAAATTTGTCCTTATTAAATTTCTTTTTGAAAGGAAATATGGTGTAGTGGAGAGAGGGAAGGTCTCCAAGTCAAGAGGGCTTGGGTTCAAATTTCCTGCCTCTGATGCCTTTTGGTCATATGTCACCTAATGCCATGGGAAAATCACTTAATTCCTTGGTATCACATGAACTTAATGCCCTAAACACCTCTCTATAAGCTGCTATATAAGTCTAGGATATCCATGTTTTATATATAAATATATACATATATATACATATATATACGTATATATAGTATCACCTACATATGTATATATAAATATAACATATGTAGCTTACAGTGACACATATAACCTACATATGTCTATAAGTTGCTGAATTACATAAGTAAAGTTTCCTCACCAGAAACTTTTACACAACATCCACGAAATCACATATCCAGAACCACCCCCTCCCCAAAAAATATCTATTAGATTCAGCCCATTATTTTAACCTGTTAAGATCTTTTTCTGATCCCGTGTCTGTCATCCAATGTTAGCTGAACCTCCTGGCTTCATGTCTTCTGAAATTTTAACAACCAGTGCCTCCTATTACCCTTAACCAACTCATGAATAAAAACGTTGAAGAGCACAAGAAAAATTCTTCCAGATAAACACCAGCTGAAAGCAAGCACTTGAGGATTTGAGCCTTCTTGGGTGTATTCCAGACGCTGAAGAGCTATTCAAAGCCACCGAGCACGAGAAGTTCTGAGACATCTTTGAAATGAAGGGAACTGAACAAGGGAATAATATCTAACTAAACTAGTAGAAAGAATGTTGGATTTAGTGTTCTCTCCTGGCCCCTCAAATTATCATGTATATACTTATCTTTACATTTTGTTCCACCTCTCTAATAGAATGTAATCTGGAACACAAGGACTATTTTTCATTAGTCTTTGGCACTCCACTGATCAGCATGGTGCTTTGTATATAGCAGGTGCTTAATAAATGCACGTTAAATTGGATTGAATTTGGAGTCAGAAAAACTGGGTTTGTGTCCTCACTGTGTTTACTAACTGCTTACTAGTTTTGTGACCTACGGACAAATCATTTCACCTGTCTGAGGCTCAGTTTTCCTCAACTATAAAATGAAGAAAACAATGTTTCCACTACCTACCCCATCAGGTGAGGCTCACATGAAAGACTATTTCTAGAGCACTTTGTAAAACTTAAGGCACTGGGAAATAGTTTGGAAGAAATTAGATTAAGAACAATATCTATCTTAATAAGTTTAATAATGTATGTGTAGAATTCAGAGAAGTATGAGAAGACTTATCGGAACTGTTGCAGAGGGACACGGGCAGAACTGGGGAAAATATAGATGCAATTACTACAGCAACATATGTGAAAAGAACAAAAAAGAAAAGTAACTGAATATTTTGCAATTATAATAACTGAACTTGGCCCGAGAGAAGAACTGAGAAAATGAACCTCCAGAAGAAGGGAAGCTGTGAGTGTGATGTGTTCGTTAGTTTTGTTGAACTGCTTTTTTTTCAAACCTTTTTTTAATTTTTGTTACAAGGGATGACTTGCTGGGTGGGTGGATGGGGATATAATTGGAAATGAATGTGATGTCAAAACAAAAGACATGAGAAAGACATAATTTTGTAAAAACTCTTAAGGCACAGTGTGAATGTGAGCTCTTCTACCAACACAATGGAATACACTATAGCCAGGAAAAATGAGAAGTATGTGGACTATGTTAATACTTGGAAATAAGAA